CAAGGTGCGTTCCTATAAGTCTTCCTACCAATATGACCAAGTTGCGAAAACAAGGTCAAACAACTTCTTAGTGTGGGATTGTTGATGAACCAACGAGAACTGTATTCAAACGATTTACTTTGAAGTCATGAAGGATTGGTGGTTGAGTTTTCCCACAGCGATAAAAGTAGGCCCATATTTTAATGAAATTTCACAAAGCCTTGTATCACAAAAGGTATTCTCAAGGCAGTCTCAGCCCCGCCTAGATCTCATCAGCACAACTAGCATGACTCAAGACCAGAGTGTGCGGTGGGATTGTCGACGAAGCAAGTTTGTATTTGCTACAGCAATCGGCGATAGTACTTATTTTTGCTAAATAAGTAAGTTTTCGAGATAAACAGTAGATCTGATATAAGAACTGTATTCACCCTATTTTGTTTGACGTAATGAAGCACTGTTAGTTGAATATCCCCACAACGATATGACATTAAAATGACTACGTCACTCATATTCCTAATAAGTGGGTTTTGAGGCTATCAGTAGATCTTGTATAGGATTTTTAGCCAGCCTAGATCGCTAATAGGTGTAGATGCCACTACTACTCGAGGTTAAATGTTGCAATACAAGTGTTCGAACCCCGTTGGGGATGTTGAAAGGGGCCAGGCGAGGTAGAAAACTGCAGTCCCCCTTGGATAAGAGAATCCTTGGGGGAAGTGAGGCAACGTATAGAATCAGTAGCTTAAGAGGATAACTCATTTCATTTCAGGAAAGTTAAACAAGCCTGTAGATATGAAGAGAAACTGGGTTTCACGCTGGCTGACAAGCGTGGAAACAATGAGCTGGTAAAAGGCAAAAAGACCTACCCATTCAGAATGTTCTAGAACTAAGTAGTATGGCTCCAGAGTGCGGCAGACGCCGACGAATCGGACGACATAGTCATTATCCGCCCGGGCAAACAGCTCAACCTGACGTTCGAATTCCGCAACTTGGACCGGTGTCCGAGAGGTCAATGACTTTACAATCACGTGCAATGACGTCGTTAGGCCAGAATCATGATTGTCAAGGCGAGCTCGAGCTAATAGCACATCTCCGAAATCGCCTCTACCTGAAAAAAAACAAGAAAAGCAATGGCCGTAGCAGAAGCAAAACACCGGGATTTAGTGACTTCCGTTATTTAGCAGTCATCAAAAAATAGACTTGATTGAAACAAATTGTAAGGTTTCGAGAGCATGAGTGGCTCCTGAATAATAGCTCTAGCCACATCAAGCCAACTAATAATTGCGACGAAATTCAACCACCGACTCCATCACCTTATGCCACTCACAAGTGGCTCAAGCACGGGTATCAAGCGCTGATAATGGAGGTTAATCATAGATCTGAGCTGTTACATAGTTTATTCTTCGATAAAGACAAGCGATTTGTCTTTTCGATCAGAGTTGTAGGTCTCGCCGTAGCAACATAGCGTTATAAAGAAAGCCATCTCACCTACAAGTTGTTATGGCAGCCACAGTCTGCCTCCACCACAATGGAATAGTGAATTGACGTTAAACATATACGATTTGAAAAATGTAAAATGGAGCTCATAAGGACGCTTTGAATTGGAGGTTGGTTGGCTAAAACACAGAAGGGATGCAGTGAAAGATGGATGAAAACAAGGACAAAAAGTCGAGGCTAACAGCTAGCAGAGCCAAGACATTGTTGCTATGCCGTCGTGAGCATTGATACTGTCTAGATACGGAATATCCAGACGAGATGACTGAAGCGACCGGCTATGACAGGAGGAAGTGTGCATGAAACTCGTGCTCAAGTGAAGACAAGGTCGAAAGCCACATATCCAGCTAGGAAATTGATATATCCAAAAGTATCGAGATGTCAACAGAAAAAATGGAGGATCCTCGAGAAACAATCAATAATGCGTTTATTTATGTCAGAGCGACTGTTATTCTACACAACGACATGCCAACCAACACTCACGCAAAAACTATAAAGGATTTCGATGAGTTGGCTTTTGATGGTTTCTAAGGCAGACCAGTGATTAAGTGAGAAGCTGGGTTTTGAAGGCTTCTCTAAAATCATAATTTTCTCATTTCGTGGGCGAACGGAGGAAGAAGGGACTGTTAAACCGGCTTCGCTGGAGAGTGTTTTACGCTCGCAACGACGAACTTTTTTCAGTGTGGTGTAGTAGTGGCTTGCTGAGATTATACGCTGCACAACTCGACTCCGATTCCCGTTGAAGTGCTGATGAAACTGGGAGGTGAGGTCGAAATTACAGTACAGTACAGCCTGAATGATAATATCATTTGGCAGGCAATGGTGAGTGAAAAAATGGTTTAACCCGGTTTTCGCAACTTAGCCGTGATGCCAGAGCGAGCCTGATTAACTCTCATGTGCCGTGGGAATGTACCAAGTCTATGGGCCGGAAATGATAATCATAACTACTATGACGAAGGACTTTGGACGAGGTATGTTTATCTAGGTCGCCCTGGTAACATGACCAAGTAG